CACTGCCACGCACAGAGGGATTAATATTACTGTAATGGAGGATAAACATCACTACAGATAGGAACAAAGCCTTTCTCTCTGTGACTTTGAATGAACACACTTAAAAGCATGCTTAGCTGAATTGTTAATGTGTTTTTCTACGTAGCTCACTGGATCCCAGAGTGAGAGATGCCTTGGCAGTCTACACAGATGACTGGCTTGTCATTCAAAGAAAGTAAGTGGTGTCAGTTGTGGTACCAGTTGAGTTAGCCTGGAGTTCATCTATTTATTAACAATGTGCACCACTTTTTCCTGTTCACTGTACACGTGATTGACAGTTACAGTATTATTGGGATAACTGTTTTCTTGTTTCCTGTAGATATCAGCGTTACAGCACCACGTACACCCCTCACAACTCTGAGCGACAGAGGGAGAGGCAGCGAGGGCTGGTCAAACAGACCTTTGAACTGGATGAGGCAGCTGCTGCTGAGCGCCAGGACGACCAGGTAGCTGTTGGTGATGTTCAAAGATTTCGTTATCTTGAACTCTGAGTGAACATTCAGTCATTTTAGGTTAATTTAACAGACTTTATTGATCTACTGTACACACAGTGCTGCCAGGAGTCAAAGCTTTGCAGCTTTATCATATCTGATATCTGGACAAAGAGATGGAGAGAATAGCCAGCAAATAAAGGTTGTCTCATTAGGATGGGGTAGGCAGTATGAGTTCTATTCTGCTCAGCGAGTTGATCATGTGGCGATTGAGTAATGCATAAATGGATATACTATGTCCATTATCCATTACACAGTCTCCATATGAATCATATTAAATGGTAATGAGGTAATGGGATCTGTAACATATTGTTCTTCTTGTCTTTCTAAAACATCTGCAGTGAGCACTGCAAGGGTGACATATTTGCCTAGAAGGAAAAAAAAAAACCTATGATCTCACCTCTCCGTCTCACTCTTGTGGGCTTCAGGATGACGCAAAGCGGCGGTCAGTTAGCCTTGATGAGACTCCTCGGGGGAGCTGGGCCTCCAGTATCTTTGACCTGAAGAACTCCTCCCCAGATGCTCTCCTGCCATCAGTGCTGGAACGTACAGCTGCAGAGGACATGGACCGCCGCAATACAGAGGCACGCCTTCAGGGGCGACACAGTGACCTCCTGGGCCTGTACCCTCCCCCTGATGAGGTTTGTATTAAACCATCCTGTCCCTGCTTCTGTTGTGGAACAGGCTATGTTAAAGAAAAAAAACATATTTATCCAATAAATAAGTATTCATCACTAGTATATATAAAAATAATATAGTGAAATAATACATGCTTTACCCGGTTAATGCAGGTTTCCCTGTAGCTTTTTGTTCTTGGCTAAAGTCAGTAGAAATGATTGCATTGTTAAGAATTATAATATGAGAATATAAAGCTTTGAGGGAAATGAGCAGTGGCACTACATAAAAGAGCAAAGGTCACATATATTAATGAGTGAGGTTATTGTTTAAACCTTCCTCTAGTAATTGACTACAATGAAACTGAACGCTTACCACATCCACTAACCAATTCCCTGGGAGAAACCCTATGTAAGCATTTTACAGTAAACACCCATGGGCAAGTATGTTTTTATTAGGGAAATCCTAAACAGGCAGTGATGCATTTAGAAGCAACAATGGTTTGTTTGAAACCAATTAGTTTTGCATCATAATCTGATAACTCAGCTGGAAATAATAGACTGCTAACCTTATGTACAGCCTGTCTATTGTCTAGTTTTGTACTGAACTGAACATGACAGCTTAAACTAGCAACAGACTGAATGTACTACTAAACTAAAGACAGTCAGAATCAGCACTTAATGTCGGTGAAAAAGAAAAGAGAAAAGAGAAACGGTGAAGCGTTCACTTACTGACAGTCCTACTGATGTGTATTTTGAATGGTGATATATTCACTTTTATAAGGAGTGCAGTCTAGACTTGCTCTATTTGAAAAGTGTCCTGAGATATCTTTTGTTATGATTTGGCGTTATAAAATTGAATTGAATTAAACACACTGACGTACCTACAACTAATTTCCATGTCTTACCTTAACAAACACAAAAAAAGGATTTCTATGGAAAGTCAGATGTCACCAACAGAAAATCTATAGAATAGGAGTTTACAATACTGGCAGCCAGCAGAACACTTGGCTGGAGATGTTGGTAAATGTAGTTGCCATTTGTTCAGCTCAGAGTAACATTATTGAATGTCCCCATAAAGTGAATGTCCACAATGTTTGCAAACCCAGCCACTTCTAGAGCACTGTTTGCTTTTCTTTCCTCTATGTTCTCCTTTTCTCACTCCATCCTTCTTTCTTATATCTGGGTACACATTCTCTCTTTCTCTGCTGCTTCGTTGCCATGACATCTGTGTAAATGTTATGCTTGTGTGTGTGTGTGTGTGTGTGTGTGTTGTCCATGGCTTTGTCGTCTGTGTGGCAGGATGAAGCAGTAGAGAGATGCTCTGCAATCGAAGTGCCCAAGGAACATTGTGGTCAGAGGATCATGGTCAAGTGTCTTTCTCTGAAGTGCGTAACATTTGAAATATAACAGCTGACATTTATGTCCTGCCATTCTTATTCATTATTTTAAACTACATAACTATACTTTGTTTTTCAGGTTTGAAATAGAAATTGAGCCAATATTTGGAACACTTGCCCTGTATGATGTCAAGGAAAAGAAAAAGGTATTTATTTTTTGCACAGTGAATATTCTTCCAATGACTTTCACTCTGTAAAACCGCCGACGTAATGCTGAGCTCATTCTTAACTAATTGAATTTCCCTTGTCTCAGAAAAGGTCTAAGTGGTCTTGCGGTTTAGATCACCGAGTCAAAACTGAGTTAAAATCCCTTGACGTGCCTTTCCATTATCATCTTTCCTTCCCCTCCCTCTGCTGTTTCCCGCTTATCTCAATCTTCCCTCCAACAGATCTCTGAGAATTTCTACTTCGACCTGAATTCAGATCAGATGAAAGGGCTGCTTAAACCCCACACACCTCACATAGCCATTTCCACACTGGCCCGTTCTGCCATTTTCTCCATCACATACCCTTCTGCTGATATCTTCTTGGTCATTAAGGTACTGAAATAACCGTCTTTTAAACAGAATCTGACTTAAATTTATTGGCATAAATAATTTCTTCTTATTGGTTCATACAGACAAGTTCACTTGCCCTTATTTTTTACATTTTAAGTGCTACTTAAATACAAAATACATTTGAATACAAAATGTAAATTAAGTTCACGTATTATTTGGTGATTTTAAAAATGTGATTTAATGTGTTAACAATTGTGTGCATGTATTTCAGCTTGAGAAAGTCCTCCAACAAGGAGACATTGGAGAATGCTGTGAACCTTACATGGTCATGAAAGAGTCAGATTCCACCAAGGTAATGGAGCCAAAAATGTGTTTTAAACTGTTGCAATGCTCTGGCAGCCAGTGTGCACGTGAGACGTGTGTTTAGTCACAAGCATTACTCAATTCTGTCTGGGTAGCTGCAATATTTACCATCATCATTGCCAAGTCAACTCTGTTGGCTACTCCAGATATTTTAAGCCTTTTAGGAAATCAGTAATTTATACTGATTTCTTTTATCATATCTTGTCTTCCCTTGTCAGCACAAGGAGAAGCTGGAGAAGCTACGTCAGCAGGCAGAGCAGTCTTGTAGTCGTCTTGGCCGTTTTCGCATGCCTTTTGCCTGGACGGCCATTCACCTTCTCAACATCGTCAGCAGTGTGGGAGGTCTGGATCGGTCAGACCCTGATTCTGACTCTGGTACTGCTGACTTCAAACATGTCCACAATTTTATACAGTGTTACACATGCACATACTACATTCAAATGCATTCATACACATATTATTCAAATATTTAAGTATTGCTTAAGTAACATTCATGCACATGCTAATATTCTATGATTTTTTCTTCTGTCAGAGCGGAAAGGTCATGGAACATGGAATGAGAGAAAGAAAAAGGGGTTTGAGAGGATGAGTATAGGGGAAGACATGTGTAACTTTGCCACTTTCCGTCCAGCAACATTGACCGTCACCAACTTCTTCAAGCAGGTCAGACTCTGTCTAGTGTGAATGCTTATGACTCATTTTATAGTTAACGTTGTTACAATTATCCTGACTGATGTGTGATGTAATGTGGCCAAATTATTAATCATTTTACGGATAAAGCTGAGTATTGCCACTACAAAAGGCAAGAGGTGAGGAACCAACAACTGCAAATCATTCAACACATTCAACATTCAACAGAATATGTCTAGAGACAGAGAAAATGACACAAGCATTAAAACTACTTTGGCCATTAATCTGGGAACAAAAATCTGCAAACTTTGCAAAAGGGTCCTGATATTTTTTATGCCTCAACCTTAAATATTTTAACTAATTAACATTGTTGTACTGTACTGTCGTTCTGTGATAACTATATTATAATGAGATTGTTTTTATCCCATTACAAACATTACAATACAAGTGTTTCTGTTGGTGCTAATGAAGGAGGGGGACAGACTAAGTGATGAAGACCTCTACAAGTTTTTGGCGGATATGCGCAGACCGTCCTCTGTTCTGCGACGGCTAAGGCCTGTCACAGGTAAACATGATATCCCCACATAGTCAAGATAGATGTGAAATTGTCTGAATTCATGTATAAAGATTTATGGATGATTTGTAATTAACAGGCTTTCTGTTTTGTTATATTTCCGTGATTTATTTTGTCCCTCAGCCCAGTTGAAGATTGACATCTCTCCAGCTCCGGATTCCCCTCATTACTGTCTGTCACCAGAGCTGCTTCATGTGAAGCCTTACCCGGACCTGCGTGTTCGCCCGACTAAAGAGGTGCTGGAGTTCCCTGCCCGCTATGTATACACACCGCACACCACCTACAGGTGAGAGTTCATGTACATTCACCCCTTCATTGCATGCATGCCTTACTGTGTTTGTTTGGATATTGATTTTTGACAAAGACAAAGAACTTTAGTCTGTGGTTCTGAATTTCTAATTGAAACACATCTTTATTGATATTGTTTTGTACAATATGTAAATACAAAAATAAGCTTTTATCTTTGAGGTTTTTTATGTGTGCTTACACAACAAGATACTCTATAAATTAACAACTTTATTTGAATGGCTTTTTTTATAAACAAAGTTTACAAAGTACCTCAAAGTCAAAACAAACAAAAATGTTACATGAGAAATAGATGATAACTGTAACAACCATATTCATATATACACTACTCACAAAAAGTTAGGGATATTCGGCTTTCGGATGAAATTTCAGAATGTACATAAAATGCACTATAACCTTTCCAGGTGATCTTAATTTGAGCTTCTACTTAAATGCCCTACTTTCATGATATAATATCACTGTAGCATCAACTTTTTACATTTTCCATAAATTTCACCCGAAAGTGGAATATCCCTAACTTTTTGTGAGTAGTGTGTGTGTATATATATATATATAAACTAGATCTATAGCATACATAGGCATAACATATTCATGGAAGGGAGTGTAGTGATGTTTCTGAGCTGGGGGTCTGCAGTGGTGAATCTTCAAACGACTATGTCATCACTCTGGAAGAAGGAAATAAACTGTAAATGTATTTAAATAAAAACATCAAAAGTTCAAGGGAAACAGATGTTTTGAACTTACCATCTTCTGCAGTTTGGAGAGCTGCTTACTCTGAGTTTCAATATTCTCTTTTTGGTACTGGATCAAATGCTGTAAACCTTTTAAGACATCAGAGTGGTCCCCTGCTCTCTCCTAAAAACAGGAATAAAGATAAAGTAACGTATTTGCTGCTGTATGTCAATAAATCAGTGACTGGTATTCAAATATGTAAAGTTGCCTAGTGCTGCAACGTTCAGCTTTGTTACCTGCAGCTCTTTGATGTTGGTGGTGGGTACAGAGTTGCTGAGATACATCTCCAACTTCTTCACTTTTGTCTTCAGTGCCACGTCTTCCTGCTCCATACTGGCCAGCCAGTCTTTAGTCACCTTAGTCTGTGCCTGTTGCTCCACCATCTGGGCCTGTCAAAAGAGCATCTGCTCATATTATCCTCTTCCCCCAACAACGATCCCAGTGCTGCTGGCAGCTGCCTGCCCCACAGTGTAACATTCAGCTTTCTAATGACTCTCTCTCTCTCTCTCTCTCTCTCTCTCTCTCTCTCTCTCTCTCTCTCTCTCTCTCTCTCTCTCTCCCTCTCTTATCTCAGATAAAAGAGTAAGATTTATCCATAAACATCTGGGAAATACATTTAAGAATCATATTGCATTCATTAGGTCTTATAAAAGAAGAAGAGTGATGTGCCCATGCATGCATGGTTACATAAGGGTAATGTAGATAGTATAGATAGTATATGCATTGTTGTTATTGTTGTTTAACAATTTTGCAAATCAGCCAAGAGTAGCTTTGTTATGTCTGTTCAGCAGTTTTTTCTATGGACAGAAGTGTTAATCTGATGGGAATTTTAAATTCTTGACATTTTTAGATTCTCTATCTTCCTCTCCTGCATGTTGTGCCTTTTTGATCTGCAGTTTGATTGTAATTCTCAGTGGTTATCTCTCTTGTAATAACACAACCATTCAACAGCACATGGGGAATTCATTGTTTACATATTTTTTGTGTTTTCTTACCTGTAGCAACTGTATCACTCCTTTTATCTGTTTCTCCACCTCTGCAGCCTGCTCAGTGTGCCTCCCCAGATTTTTGAGAGTCCCCTCATGGCTCTTCAGAGTCTGGCTGATTTTGGCTATCTTTGCCTCAGTGGATTCATAAACATAGTTTAGGGATTCGCTGAACTGTATGACACCAAACATGAGCACGTTGACTTCTTCCTGTGGCACAGCCTTGTCTTCCATCTTGCCGTTCGTCCTTACCGGACCTGCATGGACTGCTCTTAAACCCTCAGCCAAACAAAGCAGACACAGGCTCCAGATCGTCTTCATAATACCAGTTACAAACTCAGTCCAGTTATCTGTTTCACTCAGATGTTCAAAAGTTTGTGATTTCTTTTACAGTTATTTAGCCAGTTAAGGAAAAAGTGTGTTTGATGTAAAATCTTGCAAATGAGGCAAGAAGGCTATAAAATACGTATTTGTCTATCACAGCTGTGCAGAAGTTGGCATTACAAGAATACCCAGTGGATGATGAATTTTGAGGGTGGTCAGTGCGCCTTATATTGGATGTGTACATGCAATACCATGGTAAAACATTAGCTCAGCTGTGGTTCGATCACAGGTCTTGTCCGTGGCCTTAGTCTCACTGACCTTGCCTTGAAGTTTAACCCCTGAGATACTAATTTTGCCATTTAGGTCACACACACATGTGACGTACATAACAATGTATGTAACCCTCTTGTATTAGATACAGAAAATGTATGAGCAGTATCACAATCTACGCAGTAAATGTTATTTTCAACATGTATGATTTTGCGTCATTGCACCTTGATACGTGGATAAAATCAGCTGTTTCAATGAACAAATGTTACCTCTAATGTTTGCCTTGGATAGGAGTTAAGGTGACTTTCACCATGCAAATCCAATACTAGGTCACTCTGTTCCCCTGTGCACATACAAAACTCTATTTACCTTTTTCTTTTTTGAGAACAAGAATATTTTATGCTTTTGTAGGAATGATGGAGAATGTGTGATATTGTTAACAAGCTGAAACTGTGCTGTGAAACTGCCTCCCTACATTAGATTATGATCCTGTTTGTCACTTGATTAAAATTAACCAGCAATGTCCTTCATGGCTTTGCTTTTTTTTTAAATTCTGTCCTTGTCATCTCTCTCTTTCTCATTCTCTGTGGTGCATCATTTTGCCTTTAGGAACTTGCTCTATGTTTACCCACAAAGTCTAAACTTCAGCAGTCGTCAGGGCTCAGTGAGGAACATTGCTGTGAAGGTTCAGTTCATGGCAGGAGAAGACCCCAGCCAAGCTTTGCCGGTGAGTCACAGTCTGGGATAATCAAGTGACGTGATTGTGATGTTCTCAGGAAAATGAAATTCCAGTCACTAAAAACAGCTTGGGGCAGTGAAATACTATATGATGTCTTCTTGGAAGAGTGAACTTCTTCAAAGGGGCATATTTTTGAGCACAGAGGGGAGGAAAGTTTGGTTTAATTTAGTGAGCTACAGGAAGGCTTTTGTGTTATTAAATATCTAATGGTTGATGCATGCTACGCAGTAATAAATTACCCAAAATCAACTTTTTGAGTATCAAACACTCACCCTCTGTACACTTGGAAGGCTGAAATGTGTAGTTAACTCATTTATGGATAATAAGGCTGTGGAAATAACGTCAGAAGTTAAACAGGCCTATTAATATTGCCTAATAGCTTTTTTAGGATTTTGATTTGGTAAGAATTATATCAATGATTGCTAACTTTCTTTAAAGTTCCCTCCACTCCAAAATATATTTATGGAGAAAATATTGTAATTATTGGCAAGACTGCAGTGATGACAATTATGTCAAAAGAGTTCCTCCTATTGGTCATAGAACAATAACAACAATATTTATTCTCTGCTGTTGGACCAGGTTATCTTTGGGAAGTCAAGTTGGGCTGAGTTCATGAATGAAGCGTACAGTCCTATCATCTACCATAACAAGTAAGGTTTATCACCTGTTGACCCTCGTCCTTCCCCTGTTCAACATGTCCTTGTTCACAGTGTCCTCTTTTAACATTTTGTTTGACTCTTGTTTAAAAGATCTCCTGAGTTCTATGAGGAGATGAAAATGAAGATTCCCGCCAATCTGACAGACAACCACCATCTGCTGTTCACCTTCTACCACATCAGCTGCCAGCCCAAACAGAACACTCCTCTGGAGAGCCCTGTGGGCTACACTGTGAGTACACTCGTTCAGCTGGCCCACATTTAATACTCCCACCCACACGCTTACTTATTTGATAGTTTCTATCTGATAGTTGTCTTGCCATCGGTGAAAGATCGTGTGTCTGTCTTTCTGCCTACAGTGGATCCCTTTGATGCAGCATGGCCGACTACGCACTGGGTCTTTCAGTTTGCCTGTCTCAGTGGAAAAGCCTCCACCTAGCTACTCTGTACTCACCCCTGACGTGAGTGTGTTTAAAGAGATTGTGTGAATATCAATTTTCCTGCCATTACCTTCTCCTTTGTGATGTGACTGAGTATTAAATGAGTTGGATGTCCCTCTGTGGCAGGTTCAGCTTCCAGGCATGAAGTGGGTGGATAATCACAAAGGAGTGTTCAATGTCGAAGTGACAGCGGCCTCCTCGGTTCACACTCAGGTACACAAATATGCCTTTTATAGAATATGTTTCTCCTATGTTTAAAAGCCCTATTGGGCTTATGTTAGTGATATTGGGGGATGTTCTGGAATTGTAATTATTATTCCTGCAAGTATCCAAAGTTTTCCTCTATTGTTAATGTAAATTTGCATAGTTTATCTCTGGAAAAAAAATAAATCTAATTGGAGCATATTACTGGCAATTAAGATTCAGACAACCCAGATATATATATACCCCTCTCTCTATTTATACTGTTAATTAGTGCATTACAGGAACCTTAAACTTGTCCTAAAAGTCTTTTGAATTTTCACCCCTATCAAAAATGTTAATTGAAAAATTGCTGCAAAATTTAAAATTCACCCAGTTCAAGTGATATTTAATATTTTTTCTGTTGGTAACTCAAGGACCCCCACCTGGATAAGTTCTTCACTCTAGTGTATGTTCTGGAGGAGTACTCCTTCCCCTTCCGCCTGAAGGACGTCATCATTACTGAGGCGAACATGGAGGGTGAGCTGAAGGCCAGCATGGCTGCATTGAGAGGAGCTCTGCTGGATACCTGTGTCAGGTTCCTGCACCAGCTGCTCAACAAGCTCATTCAGCTCATCGTCTACCCACCAGTCATTGCTGGCCAAATTGGTGAGTGAGTTCTGAAGGACAGCCATTTTACATCCATGCTACTTCTGGCAGTGCACTTCTCAAAACAAGGCTAAACTGGCAATTCTAATAGTTTGAGTAGATAATGTGATTGATGATTTGAGCAACAAAACGGTTTCATTTAATTTATGCATTTTACTATACATCCAGATCTGCATTATTTTCAACTTCTCTTGACACACAAGAGAGGACATCTGATATGCCACTATAATACCTGCATATAAAAATCAAATGGTGTTAATGTTTTGATGTGGACAAGCCTTGTGATTCATTTGAGAAGCTTAAATCATGGCAATTTAAAATTACAGTCTACAATTATGCATGATAATTTTTCTAGCCATAGTTTTAAGTTCTGCTTGTTTCTCTCACTCTTGATATATCTACAGTGAACCTGGGCCGGACTTCCTTTGAAGCTATGACTTTATTGGTCAACCAGATTCACAAGAACCTGGAGGGGAACCAGGACCAGCATGGCCGCAACAACCTGCTGGCGTCCTACATCCACTACTGTTTCCGCCTGCCAACAGCTGAACCTGCAGTGCCCCCATCAGGTGAGTCCTTAGCCTGATCTGTACAGTCTGCATCTGAGAAGAAGAGTCTTTCAGTGGACTACTGGCAGTTATTTGATTGGGCATATGGCTGTTTGCTCTCCCATGTGACTCTATCTTTATTTGTCCATTCCGATGGGTAGCTGGGTCACAGTCCTACGACATGCCTATGCAGTACGCCACCTTGTCGAGAGCAACAGCACGCCCGAGCAGCCTGCACCTGTCCCGCTCCAAGAGTATCAGCAACTCTAACCCAGATCTGGCCAGCACACCAGTTTCTCCTGACGAAGAGGTCCAGAGGATCATAGGGAGCAAGGTGAATTGTGCCTGTCTTTTGAAGTGTGTTATTTTTATTATAGCTATACAACTTTTGCAGTAGTTAGTGCGTGTGAAAGATTTGGAAGCAGTTAAATACTTCATATTCATTCATAGTTCTTAAAATTATGCAGTTTTTTCTTCTCATGTTTTGTGAGACTGCACCAATGTATTGGTTCTAACTTGTGTTCTCATAGGTATTTGTTGTTTAATTTGCATATTCATTTAATTTGCAAATTTGTCTCATTTTATTTTGTCTAGCACTAAAGGTCTTTTTGTTAAATAATGAATCTCCATCTCGTTATACTCCATTTCTATCCCCAGTAGAAAACAAATAAACAGCAGCACAAAATTATTAAGTCCCTGTTTTTATGTTTTTATGGAACCAATTGTACCATATTCTCACTTTCTGTTTCCAATATCAGGAAGTTATTTTTATTTTACTTTGTGCCAACAGTTAATGATGCTGTTTATGTCAACAATGCAATTATGCTCTATGCCTCTGTCCCTTGTGTTTCATATGGTACCTCCAGCCCTTCCTTTGTTCTCCCCGCTCCCGCTTTCTTTGCTGATTCAAGCTTCACTTTTCTGTACTCCTCATCCCTCACTTTTGTTTCTTCCCAGTTTTATCCTTCAAGTAATCTCTTGTGTGATAATTATCTTCCCTTTACTCACTGTGCCCTTGCCTCTTGCCACACTGTGTGTTTGTGTATGTGTTTTGTGTGTGTCTCTGGTGGCTAATGGCAGGGCATTGACCGCTCCCACTCCTGGGTAAACTCTGCTTATGCCCCTGGGGGCTCCAGATCTGTGCTACGCCGGAACCCCAACTCCAGCTGTGAGCTCAAGCAGGTGCCAAATCCCTCCTCCTCCTTACTTTCACCTCCTCACCACCTCCATCCTGAACCATCTGTGATCAACTCTCATGGGTCATTTCCCACCTCAATTCTCAGGAGTTGTATCTGCTTGTGCCTGCCTCTCACTCCGCCAGCCTTGTCTTTCCTGTCACACCTCTTTATCCACGACTACACCTTGTCCATCTTTCATAATTCATCCTCTCACCGCCGCCTAACAGACCATTGCTGTTGTGAGACATAATCTCTGCCTGGTGCTCGTCAGATTTCTTACCAGCCTTGCACTCATCATAGAGAGTTCACTGGCCACCCATCCACTTCCATTCACCCATTTTCACATCACTTTGTCCTCATCTCTGTGTGTTCACATCACCGTCACTCCATGTCAGGCAAACGACCGCAGCTGCAATCGCATGTCTGCCTTCCTGGACAGCGTGGCCTTGTTTTCAGTTCCCACAAGGCAGATTGCCAAGAAGGTAAAACTGACATCTACTATAACAAAATGTAAAA